TGATCTGACCTCTGACCTGACCTCTGACCTGACCTCTAACCTGACCTCTGATCTGACCTCTGACCTGACCTCTGACCTGACCTCTAACCTGACCTCTGATCTGACCTCTGACCTGACCTCTGACCTGACCTCTAACCTGACCTCTGATCTGACCTCTGACCTGACCTGACCTCTGACCTGACCTCTAACCTGACCTCTGATCTGACCTCTGACCTGACCTCTGATCTGACCTCTGATCTGACCTCTGACCTGACCTGACCTCTGACCTCTGATCTGACCTCTGACGTGACCTCTGATCTGACCTCTGACGTGACCTCTGATCTGACCTCTGACGTGACCTCTGATCTGACCTCTGACGTGACCTCTGATCTGACCTCTCACCTGACCTGACCTCTCACCTGACCTCTGATCTGACCTCTGATCTGACCTCTGATCTGACCTGACCTCTGACGTGACCTCTGATCTGACCTCTGATCTGACCTCTGACCTGACCTCTGACCTGACCTCTGACGTGACCTCTGATCTGACCTCTGACCTGACCTCTGACGTGACCTCTGATCTGACCTCTGACCTGACCTGACCTCTGATCTGACCTCTGATCTGACCTCTGATCTGACCTCTGACCTCTGACCTGACCTCTGACGTGACCTCTGATCTGACCTCTGATCTGACCTGACCTCTGACGTGACCTCTGATCTGACCTCTAACCTGACCTCTGATCTGACCTCTGACCTGACCTCTGATCTGACCTCTGACCTGACCTCTGACCTGACCTCTGACGTGACCTTTGACCTGACCTCTGATCTGACCTCTGATCTGACCTGACCTCTGACGTGACCTCTGATCTGACCTCTAACCTGACCTCTAACCTGTCCCTCAGTGTGTTTGAAGCCGTCCATTCTCTGATAAAGAACAAGATTCATCGACTTCCTGTCATCGATCCCATCAGTGGGAATGCTCTGTACATTCTGACCCACAAGAGGATCCTGAAGTTCCTGCAGCTCTTTGTGAGTCCACCTTACACTGCTGTGGACACCAGCATGTCCACTCACTACACACTAACAGGTCAACACACTACACACTAACAGGTCAACACACTACACACCAACAGGTGAACACACCAACAGGTCAACACACTACACACTAACAGGTCAACACACCAACAGGTCAACACACTACACAC